ATGTGTGATTTTGTTTTTCTATCTATGAACAACCATTCTACCAGAAATCGTGCTCCGATTAAAAAAACGACAAAAGCTTTTTGTAAAATTTTGAACCCAGTCGGTGCCAACGCCAAAGTTTCCCGGAAATCGATTAAAATTAAACAAAAATCGCCATTTTTTCCTATTTCTATTACGAAAATTATTCAAGGAAAATCAAAAAAAATTACTCTCCCAACGATCCGATTATAGACACGAAATACTACATACACAAGAAAGTGCACATCGTACATAATACAGTTAAATGGTATACACTCAGAATCAGAAAAAACAAAAAATGTCGGGAAGACGTGTACAATAGTAATAATAATACTATGGTAATAATATTATATCACGACAATGTATTTTAATGTGCGTACGTATATTATTATTGTAATATTGGCCGATCACGATTTCCATTATAATATAGGCACGCGACAATACCGCAGCAAACGGCTAAAATAATAATAATAAGCGGTGAAAGTATAACGACTCCGAAAAAAGAAATAATGGATTGTCCGGTAATATTCCGGATTATGGTTTTTTTTTATATATATATATATATATTTTTAATCGGGGTTTTCTGTTTTGTTTTTTGGTTAGCCAAAGTACGACCACGACGTATTATACACATCACGTGCACACCATTATATTTCACGTATACAGACCGACTTTATTGTATCATATACCGCAGTACAGTAATAATATTACGGGGTAGTAATATTGTAATATTTTTTTATGTAACCGGAATTTGAATATTGTTATTACCGTTATAATATTATTATTTTGTGATAACACGACAATGAATATTTGTGAAATACCTGCGGCGGAACGCATAATAATATTATTACGATATAATATTATAATACTCGTATTTACCCGAACCGATACATCACGCGCCCGTCGCGATTTTCGATACACAATACATAACATTGTATAAAAGCAAAGTGAATATTATTTGCCTACCCCCCTCCCCCTTTCTCTTCTCCACCCCCACCCTGAAACTTTCTCCGAAATATATATATATATATATATATATGTATATTTTGTTCGACACGCGTAATAATATACGATATTTTATGCAAAACAGTATCGTGTCCGGTCGTTTTGATAGATGGCGTCCGCGAGAAAACGGAAAAGAGAACGTTTTCGGTGTGTATATATATATTGTAATTATTTGTATCATTGTCATTCATTATTTACGTTACGCGTATTTTCGGTGTATTAGCGGTGAAAACATTTTCGAATCGATATTTCGTTTTTTTTTTTTTTTATGTATTTTTACAGTTGACTCCGGCCCCACACCCGTCTAGAGTGAGTACCAATCAGTTTTCGTCGTGCGTTCTGACGCTCAGGTATTTTCAGTATACAACCATGTAGGCAATAGCAATTCACATGACAATTTTCAAAATTTCTATGATTTGGGTTCGCACGTTATCGCGCAAAACGCAGCGTTTAATAATATACATTTCGTATCCGTGTTTACTTCGACAAAGCCGAATGTCCCGATTTTTCCTGCCTAAACGTCAAACCGTTTAAATTATTAGGGCTGGGATGTTTACGCGATAAAAACGGATAAATATTTATGCACTTATTATACGCCCGAAAAAATATTGTTAAATACGAAAAATGAACAAAATAAGTTACATCGAAAATAAATGAAAATGACGAAATACGGACAAAAGTGTGTCCGATCAATCTGAAATCCTGGATCTACGTTTCAGATTTGTACATTATGCCTATAGGTTTTTCCACACTCTCATTCAAAATTTCAAACATCACATGAATAATAGAAAATACGTATTTATGAAAATATTCAAACATAAAATACTAATACGCATTACTATACCTAACCTTATAGCCTGATCAGTAACTAATTATTAAATTACCTAACGTTTTTTTAACATATCAAATCGCAGTTATCGTCATATATTAGCTATAGGTGCACCTTATACCCATATTGTTGGAGATAAAATACAGATGATCTAACTTGGATTATTGTGTTCTATAACTAACAGATTCGGTTAGTAAAATGTAAATTGCAGGGTTTTGTATCTTTTGTGTACCAAAAAATAAAATAAAGTCGAAATATACTTACATTTGATATAAATATTCGAAAAATTCGCATAAAATATTATGCGATAAAAAGCCATTTTTCCGCACTTCGCGGATATTGTTCACAAAGTGGACGTTGATTCTTTATACTAGAAACAGTATACAATTTATAGTTATAATTTCACATAGTGGACGTTTTACGAATAGAAAGATTTTTAATGAGTTTTAACGAAATAATCGACGAGACAGTAAAATTTCATAATAATATTGTATAATATATACGCATATACTAATCTTGGTGTCTTTATAAATGTCCTTGTTCCCCGAACCTCGTGTCTCCAAATTACATACTTATGTACTGAAACCTTTATACGGTTACGCGAACCACCGAACCTCCAGCTTTCTCTCTCATCCGAATAATGTTTTTTTTTTTTTTTTTTTTTTTTATAGTGATTAGGACGTAGGTATTTATAATTTGAAAATTATTGTAAATTACGACGAGCACTGTGATTTGGAATTTTATTGTAAAATATAATAATACACAAAATACATTTATACCGTGAAATATTCAAAATTATGAATTTATAACACGTAATAATATTATACCATGTCAAAGGGATTTATTATACCGCACAGTTTTTACTCGGCCGCTGCAGTGAGAAGTTTTTATATAATATATAATTACAAATATTATCATATAATATACAAAGTTTCAGTGGCGTGCCCCGGAATTCTCAATGGGAGGGGTTATAGTAAATACTAATCATAAATAAATCGTAAAAACTTCGGGTAGGTCTCAAGTCCCAATTGGTACAGTGGGAATTTAAAAATCCAGATGCCAAAAAAAAAAAAAAAAAAAAACTATTTAACTGAAATGTATACACATTTTAAGATTAAATGGCCAAATAAATACTCATAGTTTTTGTATTAAGAAACCCTTGGAGAGAAGGATATGACCCCTAACTCCTTTGGCCTAGCGTAAGCCACTGTGAAATGCATAAATGTCTAAAGTTCTAAACATAATATATAGTAGTATTGTAACATGATGATCGATACATTTTTGAGAAAAACCAAATCGTACGAACGAATCCGCGATGAATCCCATTCAAAGAAATATACTGTAATACTTATTTCTATGATAAAAAAAAAATTACGAATTTTCGGAATTTAATTTATAATCATTCCGTATAATACATTCCGATCTTATGTAAACATCGGCCTATTTAGGCATTCGTCTAATATCGCGGAACAATAAAATGCACTTGCGAGTTGTATTAGTTAAGTTCAACCGTGCTAAAAATCTAATTGAAAATCGCAAACAGTCGATCCGAGCCAAATATAATAATACATTGGTGCTCTGCAATAGTCTGAACCCGGGAAACCGAACATACCTAATATTCCGTGGCTTGGTGCAAGAATGGCCAATGTCGATTTGTTGAAAACATAAGGTAATGGAAAAAATAAAAGTAGAAAAGTTTTTTTTTTCTATTAAGGTTTTTGTAAAAAAATTAAAATCATACAAACATTTACGTTTAATAAAAGACACGGAGTCTGATGGGAAATCAAAATTTCAAAGCCCGTTTCCCAACAATCACAATAATTAACATCGGCCCTTCTTGCAGAAAACCACAGCTACAATAATACATTCGTTTATATAGAGAACTTTTCGGTCGGAAATTAAATAACGAGATTCATACCTACATAATATACCATAATTATTTACAAATTAAATTTACTCGTGACAAAACCAACAGTTCCAAATACGTAAGTAAGTATAAAATACATGGATTCGTGGTAATTGAACGATTATTCTGTTGTCTACCTAGCTTTCTCAGTTTTCCAAAACTATTATACGACACGACATTTAACGCGTAAAATATTATTATTCTCGAGGGATTTGCGCACTCTGCTGTCTCGTCTCGAACGTAAAACGCGCGTACGGTTGCCAACGAACACGACAAGAGTCAACGGTATAATAGCAAACGAATCATTGGACGTATTTACTGTATTTATACATGCAGTGAACAGCGCCTTGAGCAAAAATTAGTCGAATAACACGTGAAAAAAGGGAAGAAAAAGAAATACATATTTCGTGTTTTTTCGACGAAAGCGTTGATTTGTCATAAATGAATACAACAGACATTACGGTACTATATTCACGATAAACCGATGATTTTCACGAGGGGAGAAAAGAAATTAATTAAATATAATTTTTTTCTTCTTTTCTGAACCCTTATCAGATTCTCTCGTTATACAAATGAGACGGCGTAGAAAGCGCTTCCCACCGGTCACAATAATAATCAACGTTGCGTTTTATCTAGATGACGGCTATAACTAAATAATTGTGTTGTGTTTCGTATTATACCTACCTATAAACAAATGGGATATAAGTTTCCCGAGATAATAGAATTTATTATAGAATCGTCGTCTAGACGAATCTTTTTAAACCGTAATCAACGTAAAACCCGTAATTCATATCAATATACAGTTTAATAAAATAAATTAGGTATATCAAAGTTATAACGATCGACGTTTATGAAATCCGGTAGACTTACACTATAGCTTTAGTAGCGTCTATAAAGACGATAGCTATACTCGTATTGTGACGAACAAAATTATATTTTTACTTCGATCAAGATAAACCGATGGGATATACGAGTGTATTTAGACGACTATACCGATCGCGGTCACCGACCTATAAAATCAGTACACTCGCACCGCAAAGTTTAAACAATGAAAAGACGGACAATCCCATCCCCCTTCCCCGTGGACTAAATTCTGGCAATGACATATGATCTCTATAAACCCTTAAACCATGAATATATATATATTTTAAAACGTGTATTTGTAATTTGTGTACGGGCAGCCGTTCTATTTGCACGTATCCAATGAACCCCGTACAGGTCCGCGAAGTTAGCCGCACAACTTCAATATTTTGTAAAATTTATTTCGTCGCTGACTACCGCGGAACTCGGCCGTTTTACCATCTCTAAATTTGTATCCTTGTCAAAACGTTTTGCATCATTTGTTCGTATTTGTAAGCGCAAGTCCACAGTTCGTAAGACATCATCTCCGTACGGACGTATTGTTGTACACGCAGCGAAAATTCGTTCGGACGGACGTTCGTCACTCTCCTCGTCGCGCCAAAACTGTGCCGAACGAATTGCGCCGAGACGCGTGTGGTTCTGGACCGGGTAAAACGCGTAACGCGGGCCACTTTTCGTTGAACGTTCACTTGTTCGATCACCAAAGAGGGACGGGGTCATCGGCGCTTTCGGTACCCCGGCGATGCGGGCGATCATTTTTGCGCGGTTTATTTTTTCTGCCGGCCCGGCGTATATTATGGTGAATTATTTAAAAAAAAAAAAAAAATTCCCGCCGACGGATATTCATATCGTTTTTATTATTCCCGTATTGTCTCATTGCATCGCAGTAAGTACACCGAACTCCCGCGTGTAAATAATACACAGCGAAATAGTCATTCTCGAGTGGCCGAACGCGCGTGGAGATGATTGATGACGGCGCACGTGTTACACGCGGCCGTCGTACCGTACGTGTATCGTTATGCGTGTACGATATTATATGCGTACGCCGCGCGGGATACTTCACGATATTATAACCGAAAATATAGCGATCGGCCGCCGAAACGGGCTGGGGAACCGGGGTGACGGCGCTTTCGGCGGGGGTGGCGCTGCGTACGCTCGTATACGTATATATATATATATATATACGTGGCGGTCACTCGTCGCGGTGAAGGGTCGTGTGACATATTGACCGTTGTCCCTGTGCGCAGCGTGTACATATATATATATATATATATATACGTATATGTATATTAGTAAAGTGCGCGCCGCCGCCACTGACCGCTACGGGCCACTGTCTGTACATACGCATTGTATACATACGCCCGCGTCCCTTTTCAAAACCCGTTAATTAATACCGTCCTGCACTTGCTAATGATGGGCTACTGAATTGTTTCCCGGCCGCCGCCGCCGCCGCCGCTAATGAATTATGAAGGGCTGACGACGCCGTAAGTGGCATTGTGCGCGCGCCCCTAAGCCCCCGTAATGTGTCACCGAGCGCCCCCCCCCGTTCGCGCTCGCGCACCGTCCCGCGTCCCATACCGGCGCCGGGGCCGTCACGATATTATGTATTTACCGCGTAACACAATATTATACGACTCGGCGGCTTTTTTTTTTTTTTTTTTTTTTTTTTTTTTTTTTTTATTATTAGAGGTGGGTACTATTATGATTTTATGATTTTTTTTTTTCGTTTGTTCGTTGGTTTTTTATGATCTCCGTTGTCGGACATTGTATTATTATATTGTTGTAGTCGTGTGCACGTATACACGACGAATAGACGTGCGTGTGTGTGTGCGTAGAACGCGTGTACTTGGGCGTTTTTATTCGAGAATAAAAAAAATCATATATATATATATAAAACGAATAAAAAAAAAAAAATCGTAAACCCTATGATTTTCTGCAAACGGTCGTCATGATGACGATAATAATATTATTATTATTATTGTGTTTACCCGTGTAAACGGCACACCGTAATCGACGTAGACGACATTTGTGAAAAAAAAAACAACTGACATCCTCTATATATATATACGTATCTATACATACCATTTCTCGAAATGTTGATAAAACTTCGATTTTCGCATTACTAAAACAAAAAATTATATAGCTAGTCGACGTTCAAATATGTATTTTTATTGATAAGACGAGACCGGCTGGACCGTTGTTTTTTTTTTTTTGAAATTCGATGTTTATTGTAAAATGTAATGTAAATTTACATTATGTAAATGATTATTTTTTCTATATTTTAAGAACTGAAATTAGAAAAATTGCTCGACGAGTTTCACTCCCTATAAAAATTGATGCATCAGGGGGGTGAGGAGGTTTGCTATTCGCCAACAGCAATTGCTATTAATTTCTGTAGGTATTACACCTTACTCGTCGATTCGGTGACTCGTCGGTTGTTTTATGATTAATCATGTAATATTTTGAAAATTATCCGAAATACAGAAATTTCACGTCTCCGGGGTAAAAATTATAAAGGGGTGAAATTCGCCTATTTGCCGTCGGCGAACTCTGAACATCTCGAAATCGCACTCCGTCTTCTCACGCCCGCGGTAAAAATTCCGTGAGGTGAAATTCACACGTGTTTTAGAATGCAAAGATAGGCGAGCGGAAATCTCCGTTCCGTTTCAAATCCCTTTCCAACTCGTACCTATATTATATACATGTATGGGTACCTAGTACACAATATGTACAATTCAATGTAACGAAGTCTTATACGCGTTCGGTTTTTGGCAAAACTAAAATGCGTGTACATATATGACGTGTGTGTAAGACGTGAGTATATTGTAATATACTCGCGCGATGCCCAAGGTGTTTCTTAATGCGAGTACAATACAATATACTCGTACTACACAGTATACACATGATCATACATAATATTATAATATCGTCTCTCGTGTTTCCTGTTCCGTATTTACGGAAATCGGGAACACGACGACGTCACCGACGGTATTCGAGGGTTTATTATAATAATTATGTCGTCGTCGTCGGCTGTATAAAACAAAACGCGGGTTTTGAGGCGTACGTACGTGATGTACACGATATTAAAAAATATAAACGCCGATTACGAATTTATTATCGTAATATTACGGCGGCCGCGCTGGGGTTGCGCGTAAAAGATTCGTAAGAAAGAAAGAAAAAATAGAACCTAAAAAACCACTTTTGAAAATAAAATTTTATCGCGATCCGAAAATATACGTATTATTACAGTTCGGTTAGATACCTATTATATATATATATATACATAAAAGTAGTACCTAAACGCCCTACACGATAACGCGTTGTATTTTAGTGTGCGGGTGAAAATATAATATAATATTAAGTGATGTGCATTATATGCGTATACGAGAGACCCCTGCGAGGAAGAGACGCCCGTGTCTGTATAATAAAACGGCCGTAATAATATTCGTTTTATGCTTTTTTTTTTTTTTCTGATTGCGATCTAGAATCGCTTTCGAATTAAATGGTGGGAGGGGGAAGAGGAAAAATAACCCCGCCGACGAAGACGCCTCGCACCACAATGTCGTGTCTATCGTGTCTGCGTTGCGTTTTATTAAAATATATACCTATACCTGTACGATGATATCCACCGCGCCAAAGACCGTAAAATATATCGCTACAATAAGGTAATAAGGCAATAATAAGGTTATTTGACGTGTTGACCCGGCGACAACCACCGGTGCTGGCTAGGGACATCGGGGGTTATAACTGTAGAGACGTTTCGGGTAGAAAATTCTTTTACAATAGTTATTGTGAATAACGCTATAAACTATAAATAAATTTTCAGAATACAATGAAAATTTGTATACTCGTATACATAAAGCCAGTTGACCCGAAAACGCTATAATTGTCTAGCAATAGACAATTATAGTGTAAGAGAGAGAGATACGAATTTATTTTTAAAAAACCGAGCTGGCCGCCAAGTATTCATAGGTTGCCGCTGGGTGACACAGCATTATAATACTAATCAATACAACCAGTGGCGGCTCGAAGGAGTTATATTTGAATCACATTATACACAAAAAACTGGGTGGGTGGGTCGTGGGCGCCTGAGTGTTCAGAAATATAACAAAAATTACTATGTTTTTACAAATTAAAAAAGTCATTGAAATAATGTCAGACTGCAAAAATTTGATAAATTTGACGAATTTTATTAAAATTTAACGAATTTCAAGGCATTTGTGGTAGGGTGGGAATATTTTTGGGTCAAGGTGAGTGGGTAGAAAATTAAATCCATGATTCGAGGTAAACATTCTTCGAACAGCCACTGAATATAATCCATAATGATCCATATAGTGTTGAACTTTTCGACAATGATGACCGTAATAATTAAAGTACAAATAATAACAGTAATAGTTTTCTTGTCCGTGGACAACTATAAACTGTCATTCACTTCCACCTGTAAGATAACCCACGAACTAATTAAAATAGATAAATAAATAATTAGATATTCGTATCAAAAATGCCTAAAAACTCCTATTTAAGGGGCCAACTTTTGGCGGTTGAATTTTCAAAAATCATTACTTATAGCGAGTGCCTACGTCATAATAGCTATCTGTATTTCAAATTTCAGCATGATCCATTCAGAGCTACGGTCTAAATTCACCCATGATAAATAAAATGCGGTCGAACTCATTGTTTAAACATATTATTTGCTCTTACGAGAACCAATTCGAACAGTTTTATAACACTGTAATTTTTACCGGGAACTAATTCGCACATTTGTTTTTTTTTACTCGAAAACCAATTCTATACATACAGAAATTAATGCGTATTTTGTTTGTTTGTTTTTTTTATTGTCGAGTGGGATTAATAAAATAATTCGAAGCGTCCGTTGTTCCGCACACTGCACTTTACACCTACCGCCTAACCTATATGTATACGATTATATCCCTCTTGTTGATAAGTGAACACTTCACCAAAGTCTCTGAAATGGGGTGCGAGATTTAATAATCTACGGATTAGTCGATCGTGTGATGGTTTTTTTTTTTTTTGAATACTGTTCATATTATTTATAATATAATATTATTATGCGGATAATAATTGATTAGGCTAGAATCAAAACTCACATTTTTCAGAAACAAAAATAAATTGGAAAAGATTTTCCAATAAGAAAGTTCGAATTTTCTTATGTAATTTACGGTAAGAAATTCAAAACGGCTAATAAATAGCTAAGTATAATATATTTAAAGTTATATATTTTTTTATTTGTAATAAAAAGTTTGGCGCATGTGAGTTTCATTAATAGTTAAAACGGAATACTATGTGAGTTTTCGTATTATGGATCATGCGAATTTTGACACGAGTTAAATATAACAAAAAAAAAAAAAATAAAATAAAATGAAATAAGTTTTTATTTCAAAACTCGAGTGATCCAAACAGAACTTTTATGAAAACCAATTTGGCTTGCCTCTATTAAGTACCTTACTTAAATAGGAACCTATCCAGAATTTGGGGCGTGAGCTCGGGAACCAATTCAGGTACATCCGAGTTTTGGATATTATACTGGTTGGTTTCCAGCTTTCAGTTTGTAATATATTAGTTTAAGGGACCGAAAGTTTAAAAGTAATACGAAACGTAATCCTTCTAATTTCTACAGACTCAAGACTCAGGATCTATTTTGCCGGTAATGTTTTCCGTTATTATATCCTTTGTATATTTTTCTTTTTATAAAATACAGTCACTTTGTTGGTTTTTTTTTTTAAATTTTCATTTTA